GAGCGAAACAAGGTTTGGTGTCTTGTTCCAAAACCAAATGATGTGTCCGTAGTTGTTTTACAATGGATTTTTAAAAATAAAACGGATAAAGAAGGAAACATAGTCAGAAACAAAGCTAGGCTAGTTGTTAAAGGATATTCACAACAAGAAGGGATTGATTATGATGAAACCTTCGCCCCTGTCGCAAGACTCGAGGCTGTTCGAATCTTTTTAGCCTATGCAACACACAAGGACTTCGAAATGAGCATGATGGAGAGAATCAACAATTTTATGGGATTAGATATTCGTCAAAGCAGAGAAGGAATCTTTATTAATCAAGAGAAGTATTCTCGCAATATGCTTGAAAAGTTTGGAATGATAAATAGTTCAAAATTACGAGTACCTATAGCTGTTGGCACACGTCTTGGTCCTTCGTTGGACAAGCCAGCTGTCGATCTCACATTGTACAGAAGCATGATTGGTTCGTTACTATATTTAACAGCTAGTCGACCTGATATAATGTTTGATGTATGCAGTTGTGCTAGGTACCAGTCAAATCCCAAGGAACCTCATCTTACTGTTGTAAAGCATATTGTTCGCTATGTTAAAGGAACAGCTTCGTTGGGTTTGTGGTACCCTTCTAAGACTGGTTTCTTCATTCAAGCATTTTCAGAAGCAGACCAGGGAGGATGCCAACTTGATCCAAAAAGTACTACTGGCGGATGTCAACTACTCGATGGGAAGCTTTTGAGCTGGAAATCGAAGAAACAAACTTGTGTTTCAATTTCCACAGCAGAAGCTGAATATGTTGCTGCTGCAGCTTGCACTTCTCAAATCATTTGGATTCAAAGTCAGCTTCGTGACTACGCCATCAACATGAAGAAGATACTTTTACATTGTGATTCCCAGAGTGTTATTCGAATTTGTCACAATCCTGTGTAACATTCGAAGACCAAACATATTGCACTTCGTTATTACTTTATCAAAGATCATGTCGAGGATGGGCATATAGAGGTTCATTTTGTAAAAACAACGGATCAATTTGCTGATATTTTTACTAAACCATTGGATGGAAAATATTTTCTCAGAAATTTGTCAGGGCTAGGCATGCTTGATGCGAGTGTTGTTCCCACTTCGTGATCCTAGGGCAACACAACGAGCAGTCGACATTTCGCTCAATGAATAAGAAGTTACTGTTCATGATTCAGCGTTCGACATGCTTCGATTTCGAATTTTCACTGACCGATTCAGAGAACACTTCGTTTGTCAAGAACACATGTTGTCTCCATGGCTCATTCTCTCAATGTCGATACATGTTGTTTCGTTAGTCTGGTACACTTTTATTATTTTTCATTGTTTTTTCATTTTCAACAACAAAAATACCAAAAAGATTTTTCTATTCTTGTCTTTTCCTTGTTAAAATCAAAAATACCGAAAAGATTTTCTCATTTTTTTTATTTCATTTTCAAAAACAAAAAACCAAAAATATTTTTTGTTTTACTTTGAAAATTCACAAGTTTGTGTGTAGCCTGCTATCGAATTCATCTGATGGAACTTGCTTTGCAGCTTTAGGGAAAGGAATTAATTCGATACTTTGTACTAGTTAAGAGTCCCTAGAAGCAAGCTGCAACATGTTGTCCCAAGCCTCCATGACTCAATGTGTTTCGAAGCCTTAATGATTTCTCATTACAAGGATTCCTTCCCAATAAGGCTATATTCGCATTAGTCACTGAGCTACCTTACTCTTCTCATATTGAGTTAAGAGTTTCCTGCTTGGTCTACATATAGCAGACGTACAATTCGATTCTAAACAAATCTTTTTCATCATAAAATTCTTTCACGATCACACACAATGACATATATCCAAGAGATCTCTGGTTCGAACCAACCAGGATTTAGATATATCACAAGTCTGTATTAATGATCCTGATTCATGAGACCGTGATGATGGTGAAATCCATAGATTCTAATTGATTAAGGAATTGACGGTGAACTTTATGTTCAAGCGTTTAACGAAACACTTGTTTCTGTGCCTTTCGATATTCAAAATCGTATTTCTTCATTTTTAGTGGTCTTGACAAAATGCTCTTCACCCAAGACATTTTTGTCCTACAAGATCCAACACATTATTTTTCAGGGAATATAGTTTTTTTTTCTAAATATCACTTTGCTTAGGTGTCACTTAAAATTTAATCCAATCTTAGCTTGTCACTGACTACACTGGTCATACAAGTAATTTTGCTCATTGCATTCACTCTTATTTTAAGTTGTGATCATGAACAAAATTTGAGCCAACCTTCGAAGCCTTACGAAAAGAAGCCCTTCGATACTCCTCTATGAGTATTCGATTAAACTTCACAGGAAACCACACAAGCTGTTCGACATCTCTCTTGATGTAGAACAAAGCGATCTTTGCTCGGGATCTTAACTGCTTTTATGTCAATCGACATCACAGGACCAAAATTTTCTTAAATTTGTTCTTATCTTGTTTTTTTGGCACGCATATGCACACACTGTGTAACGATCCAAAAATCCAAGGTAAAAATTTCATTTTCAATATAATTAAAACACTACTGTAACTTCTTTTAAAACATTGAAAAGCATTTCAAATAAAACAATTATTAGAGTCCAATCCCAAAGATCACGTATTGCGGAAGGCACGGATGTATGCGCTGCGATCGTCCTGAGCTCTTTCATTTGAAAACTGGAGTACCTGAAACAAAAATGAAAACCGTAAGCACAAAGCTTAGTGAGTTCCCCAAATACCACATACCATACATATCCAATGATCCACACAAGTCATATATAACCGTGAGCCATACATATCATTCATATATCATAATCAATAAAAGTGTTATGTGTTGCACATAGACATTATGCCACGAGCCACCTCTTCGTCTTTCTTGCCAGGCTGGGGGCCACAACCCTGGGTCTTACAGACAAGTGCCAAGAGCCACCTCCTGGTCTTCCATGCAAGTATCACAAAGACAACTAGCATACAAACAATACTACTTAACTAATTACTTGCCAGAGTTCAGATTCCGGTCTTGCATACAGTGTGCCAGGAGCCACCTCTTGGTCTTTCATGCATGATGCCAAGGGCTAACCCCCGAGTATTCCTACAATACATAAGCCAAATGGGCCGGTATTGGTGCCTTCGACCTATACAAAAATGAGGAAACTCACCTCGAATGCAAAAGCTCACTACACGAAATCCCTAGCTCCTGCCCTGACGATTTCCCAAACTAACAATCACCAAAACAACATCCAATTAGCAACTGAATTCCAAACCATGATCCATAATCCAAACTTGGGGTAAAGTGACCATTTTACCCATGGCCCAACAAGACTCACAACCAAGGCCCAAACCTCAAAACCATTAAGGCCCAAAACAATAAGATCCATAAAATCCCACTAATGGCCCAATTTTCCGAATTGAGCCCAACCCCATATGGGCCTTACACAAAAGCCCAACAATTCTTAGTCCAAAAATATTTCTTCGATGGACCAAAGGTCCAAGCCCAATGGGCCCACTAAAGCCAAAAACCATTGGGATCACCAGGGCCCAATATAAAATCTTGGCCCAACTAGACATGCCCAAACAAGAGTCCAAGACTCTTAATTCCCTCAGACCAGAAAGCCCGACTCATAAAACCCAGCGCAATTTCGAAGACCAAACATGAAACAAGCCCGAAGTCCCACAGAGCCACGAACGCGGGGCATACGCTCAGCTTACGGTGGGCATACTCGAGGAATCTAGATCGCGACTAAGGGACGTAAGCGCAGATTCTCTAAACTCAGATTTCAACATAACCCATTAAGTACTTTTCATCCATACTTCAGGAAACCTCCAAATGAAACTCTTAATTCATAAAGTCGGCACCTTTATGCATTTCCATGGCTCAAAGGGACCTAATGGCCAACTTAACCCAATTATACCCATCTTAATCCATCTAGAACATGCATGGACCATATCTAACCTTAAAGATGGCTTTGTGGACTTATAACCTCAATAATGCTAAGAGTAGCAACTCAAAGCTCCTAGAGTGGTGTCCAACCACTAGATCTCACTTAAGAGGTCAAAATGGGACCATAAACCATATAATCATAGATCTCAACTTCTAATGATCAAGTTAAGAGCTTTTTACCTACAATGAGCTGAAAATGTAGCAAAGAGTTCAGATCCACTAGCCTTTCCTTGAACCACCACCTTGTACCAAACCACCACTTCTTGAAATACACTAAAATCCACCAAAAATGCACATACAAGGCACACAACCCTCTTTAATGAAGCTATGACCGAGATTTAGGGTTTAAGACACTAGAGGATGAAAGAGAGGCGCACACCCTAGAATTAAGGTGCTTAAATAGTGAGCCAACCCTTAAAATTAGGGTTTTGGGGATCCTAAACGTACTCTTGGCGTACTTCCTGTACGCTGGCGTACGTCTCCCAAACCTGTGTTTCACTTATCCAACACTATGTTGGGCATACCCCAGCTTACGTTGGGCATACTCACACGTAGGGATGAGCAAAAGGACCGGGGAACCGGCCGGAACCGGTCCCGGAACCGGCACCCGATGGAACCGGTCGGGCCGGGACCTATACTATAATTTCGTGATTTTTGGAACCAGGACCCGGTAAGAACCGGCCGTTGGAACCGGCCCAAAACCGAGAACCGGACCGGATACAAAAAACCCCATGCATTTGGCTTTGTCGCTTGAACTTCTGCCTTACACTTCGGACGTAACAAAAAAAAACACGATCGACAAAAAAAATCACGATCGCCAATCCCAACTCCCCAAGTCACGAAGATACGAACCCTACCAGGCTAGTCTACCATTGATCCACAATTCGACATCTCCAAGGAATAAGAATCCAAGCATCGATCATCGAATCCAAGAATCCAGGCTAGTACCCTACTTGTACGATTCCAACTTTCCATCTCCAAGTTTCAATCGATCTTCAATTCTTCATCATCAATCATCGATTTTCATCTTCAATTGCTTCAATGATTCAAACTATGGATGTTCATGAAGATCAAGTAAGATCATATATTTATATTTCATGTTTTAAGATTATATATTTGCTTCAATGCTTCAATGATTCGCCAAATATATGCATTCTTATCCCTACTTAATTAAATGATCTTGATTCTTGATCATAGTCTCATAGTGGAGTACTCCTTTACGGATGAAAGGTTGTACATATAATATATGTTTCATGTTTTAAGCACCATTTAAAAATGTACTTTGTAGACATACATGCAAGATTTTTGTTAGATTAGTTTATTGTTTATAGTATGAATGTAATTATGTAAGATTGTCAAAACTACGAATTTGTTTAGTACTTTTGTAGTTTTGTTATATAATTAATGTGTAAAATTGACAATGTAGGATTTGGATGGGTTACCAAATGTACCATCATCAAGATACCGAAACTCGGATGTTCATGATGCCAATATTGAAGATGGTAATCCGGCTGATTGGATTGAAAAAGACTTTGATGACCAAGTAAGATTAGCATTTAGCTCATTAGCAATATTTACTTCTTTAGCAATCTGTCCAAATTTTGAATTGTGCATAACTCACTCAATTTAACTTGTTTTGATCTGAATCTTTTTCCTACATGTAGATTAGGATTTGTAGTTGAGTTTAGACTATAAAAACGCTTGATTTGGTTAAAAATTGAATGCGTTACAAGCCGCGCAAGGAAAGGTGTCAAATCTGATTTTTTTTCTAACAGCAATAAAACGTAATCTGATTTTGTTGTTCAAATATGCATATCTCATTCAATTTAACTTGTTTTGACCTGAATCTTTTTCCTACATGTAGATTAGGATTTGTAGTTGAATTTAGACTATAAAAACGTTTAATTTGGTTAAAAATTGAATGAGTTACAAGCCCCGCAAGGAAGGGTGTCAAATCTGATTTTTTTTTCTAACAGCAATAAAACGTAATCTGATTTTGTTGTTCAAATGTGCATAACTCATTCAATTTAACTCGTTTTGACCTGAATCTTTTTCCTACATGTAGATTAGGATTTGTAGTTGAGTTTAGACTATAAAAACGCTTAATTTGGTTAAAAATTGAATGACTTACAAGCCCCGGATTTTATGTTTATGGTACAGGATATGAAAGATAAATATGACAAATATTGGGGTGACTATGATACTATAAGTGATTATGTCTTCTTTGCGACATTGTTAGGTCCTCAATGCAAGTCAAAGTTTATGAAAGTTGTTTTTACCCAAATGCTTAAAGCCAAGAACAAAGATAAAAAGATGTCCGTTGATGAGATAGAATCCAAAGCACGTGCAAAGGTTATTGATATCGAATGCAAATTGGATAAGTTTTTCAAGACATACTTGGAAAGGTCAAACATGACCTCATCGTCTCAACAAGAAACTCCCGACGAAGTTGTTAATTTTGATGACGAAAACGAATTCTTTGGAAGCTATATGACTTCGGGAAGTTTCCCCTCGACTTCGTCAGAAATTCAATTGCAACGATAGTTAAACGAGGACCCAATTGGATTTGACAAAGTATATTATATCCTTACATGGTGGAAAAATAACGTGGTGCGGTTCCCGATCGTTGCTCGAATGGCAAGAGGTATCGACCTTCTTTTACTCTAATTTTCATTTTTAATTTATAAATTCGTGTCATGTATTATACACTAATTTGTTTATTAATAGATATTTTGAGGATGCAAATTTCCACCGTAGCATCCGAATCCACATTCAGTAACGGACGTCGAGTAATTACCGACTACCGTACTAATTTGTCCGTTGTGATTGTGGAGGCATTGATATGCACTCAAGATTGGCTAAGAAAGAGTAGCTTGCCTATATATGACTACGACGAAGTGCACGATGTGTTAGCTGACGATGACCTCGCTATCGGTAATACACTAATACTTGTTACATCTTATTTTTAACATCTTATTAGTATTTGTTACATTTTAGTAAGTAATAACATTTTTCTTTTGTATTATATATAGACATTGTGGATGCTATACACAACTTGAAGCTAACGGGGAAGAGATTGGGGAATTAGTCAAAATGTCAAAGAAATGTTGGAATCCACATATTAGACTTTGTTTTTTTTTGTTGGTGAAACTTGAAAGTATATTTTGAATGTTGAAAGTGTATTTTGAATGTTGAATGTTTGAATGTTGGATACTTAATAACATAACTTTGACGACATCCATGTTTAATTTTCTTGTAATAATTTAAATAAAAGATCCATGGTGTTGTGTTTGAAAAATTCATGTCAAGGCAACGAAAGGGTACACATCATATGACCACCCCTAATAGTTTATTAAAATGTTGATTATTAAAATGTTGATTATTTACTAGTATTTAAACATCCACTTCTTCACAACCAACCAATAAAACGCAAACTAATTTAGTCGTTGGATACATCAAAATTTATTCGTTGGATACATCAAAATTTAGCCGGTTCCAAAATCGAAAAACCGGCAAAAACCGGACCCGGAACCGGAACCGGTAGAACCGCCGGGCCGGTTCGATTCTTCATTTTGGCCGAAGCCGGTTCCCCGGTTCGGTTCGGTTCGGGCCGGTTCTGGCCGGTTCGGTTCTTTTGCTCATCCCTACTCACACGCATGCCACCTTGCATGCATGGGACTTCCTTGCCAATTATTTCCATTAAGGACCAAAATTGTTAATAACTTCAAAATACCATAACTCCCTCATCCTAGGCCCGTTTCCAACGAACTATATATCCACGAAAAGGCGGCGAGAAGCCCTACGGTCCTAACAACACACCCAAGCCTTATAACCTCCCGAACAACACCCTAAATTCATACAAGACCTAGAAATCAAATTACCATTATACCCTTGGCTTCCGGAGACACCATCGAATACTTGGATCACTTATACCATGACACCCACATACGAAATGGGCCAAATACTTCCTTTCCCGAAGTCCTAAGCCTTGCAACAACTAATGACTGGGACACAGCCCCAAACAACGGAGCTTATCCGAAACCGAGTGTTACACACTGAAATCCTTGAGATTCTGAGTAATACCAACTCAGACTGACGATTTCTAAAAGTCTGGCAAATGAATTCGCTTCTCAACCCAACAACGAAAGAGCCCAGCCTCCATGCTGAAGGGTTATTCACAATTCTTATTCCTCGGGGAAAGTGAAACGACTGATTGATGTGACGGTTTGGTTGCTGTACAGTTTTTAAGGAAAAAGTGCACATCACTTTTCAGGCGTGGCGTATGGTGTGGTAACTGGCCCTATTTTTAAGGAAACACGTGGCATGATCTTAATGAATAACCGCTTCAAATTCAAACTTGGGGTTCACGTATAAAAGGGTATTGGGGACGTTTTATTCACTTTTTACGCAATCAGACTTGAGTTTTCCCCAATTTTCTTTCCTTTTATTCTCAAAGCTTCAGACCCTAACAATGGCGGCCACAAATATGAATGTTGATCCTTCTCAAACCACCGATGATACCACATCTTAACCTCTGTTGAAGATTCAGAGTACCAACTATGTTGTTCAACCTGATGTTAGCAAGTTTCCTGAAGAGTTGAAGATGCTGATTGTGGCATTGAATCACTCGGTTTTATCTACAGTGGTGTCATCTTCTTTTTCTGTTTCGATGACATGGTTTTCATTTGCCGGTTCAGCTGCTTTGTTTAACAAGACAACCAAGGTGGTTACGTTTCAACTTAAAAATGACAAGAAGTACAAACTGTCAATGAAGCAATTCACCCAAATCCTGAACATTCCCAATACTGAACCTTTCTATGAGGTCACAAATGAACAAATTGTTCATATGTTCAATGAGATGGGACATCAACCTCCACTTACCAAGATCAGTGATTTCAAGAAATCTTCCTTACCTTGCATCTGGAATCTTCTCTTTGGTATTTTTCTTAGATGCTTGACAGGTCGAAGTGTAGGGTTGGATAAAGCCAATGTCGAAGTGTATGCGATGGTGGCTGGTCTATATTATGATCTTCAGGTGGATTCTGCAACTCAGTTATGGCAAGATTTTGGTAACAATATTGCTCACACCAATGTTGTGAAGGGTGTTTCTTGTGCCCATTACTGGAGTTAGATTTTGAGGTATGTGTATCAAAAAGAGGGTATCCTGGTTCCCAATGATGTTCCTAAGGCTGAGTTTGTTCTATGTCAACATCCCAAGACGGTGGAGGATAATTCTAAAGTTTTTCCAAATGTTGCAAGGATCCCAGATACAATGCTTTGAAAAATTGATCCAACCAATTCTGTTCTATTGGCTTATCTTCAAAGCACCAATCCTTCTGTCGAAACAGGTGTTCTTCTGCCAAAAGGAATTGCTGGTACTTCAAAACGTGGTAAGGGTTCGAAGAAGGTTACTAATCCTGTTCCTACTCCGAAGAAGGTTACAAAGCCCATTCAAGTTCAAGATCCTAAAGAGTCTGCGAAGGAAGTTGTGCCTTCAAAATATGGAGTTCTAAAGAAGTTGAAGAAAATGGCTCATAGGTCTCGTCATTCTCCTGAAAGACAGCCTATTATCAAATCTATTCCTGAGCAGTTTATTTCTTCTCATAAAGAAATGTTTGCTTCAAAGATAAATAAAATTCGGAAACCTAGATCAATCGCAAGGGGGTGATTATTAGGGAAATTCCTGCTCCTGTTTCTCCAGGTTCGAAGAAGCGTCGAGCTCATGAAATGGTGAAGAAAATTAAAAAGAAGCAAAAACAAGTGGATGATGATTTGGACGTAGTTGTTGTCGAGACAGAATTTGAAGATAGTGGTAAGTCTCAATCTCCACTTCGTTCTAATGATATTGGCTTCGATTCATTACAGAAGGAATCACCAGTCAAGTCGACTTTCGAGGCGACTAGTAGTCTTATTGGCAATATGGAAATATCTAATGTGGACACAACCACTAATCTGGGTGAACATTTTGTTTTATCCATCCCTGAGCAGACTTCGGTCATACCATCAGAAGTTTCGATTGCCAAGTCCAATATGGAGGTGGTTTGAACTTCAAGCATCCCTGTGGGCATATCTAATATGGATACAAATGTCAACATGGGTGATGGGGTGTCGACTTCCGAAGCCCATGCTGTTTCAAATATTTCTACTACCACTGTTCATGTTTCCATTATCATCTCTTCTACTTTCAAAACCACACATATATATACTTCCACTTAGCTACTATCATTTGATTCACCCATTCCTACATCCTTACCTGCTTCAACTATCTCACCTACATATTCAAACAACATGAACCAGCCTATTACTTCATTATTTCCTTCTCAATCCACTGAAGGAGCCAAATCCATTACAGATGATATCACAGATGATGATGATGATGTTTGTGTTTCATTTGCTGATATCCAATTTGACCCAGAAGAAGAAAACATTCAAGATCACATGCTCATGTCTGGGAAACAATTTAAAATTCTGAATCCGAAGCTCAATTCCTTGTTACAAGTTCAAGCTGATACTGGTAATCGAAATATCGTATCTGGGATTGAAGTAGATGTTTTGTTGAAGGCTTAGGAACTTCGGTTGAAAGATATGTCGGATCGAATTGATAAGAACAATGAGTTACGATTGAAATTTTAGTTTGATTTGTTTACTCACGAAGTCAAAGATTTGCGAGCAATTGCCAAATAAAGGCATATTTTTTTTGTCGAAGCTGTAAAGAAAGTAAGAGAGGATGTTAATTTCAAGCTTGAGGAGATTTGTTCAGATATGGCGAAAGAGGTTGCAGAACTTCCTCATAATTATTCATCTCTTCACAGTAAGGTGGATATTATTGCTGCTGTTGTGACTAAGGTTGTTGAATCTTACACTTCTTTACTTCTCATAGTTGATACAAAGTCTGAGTCTGATACTCAAAGTTTTGAAAAGTTTGAAGAACTCTTAGGCAGTTTGACAGAGTTAGTTTCAAAACTTGGGTCTTCGACACAGTCTTCGATTACTTTAGACTCTTTATCTCAGAAGCTTTTGTATTTGGAGTCCACACTCAAGGCTGAATTGGCCCCACTTATGAAGGTGGTTCATCTAATGCTAACTGATGCCCCACCTGTTTACACATAGGTGTAAGAGGGAGAAATGAGTGTTGGCATGAAATCAAGTGTTGGTATGGGTTCGTCAAAGTTTGTTGGTAGTGGTTTATCTAAAAGTGAAGATGATGGAAAAGTTGTTGGGAAGGTTATGCCAACACAAATTTCTATTGCAATTCCTATGTCTACAACAACTACTTTAACAACCACAACTTCGAAGCCTTTAACTAAATGTGTTTTAATTGGTTCATCTGCTGGTGGATCTAGTTCGAAGCCATCTCCATCAACAAAAGAAATGAAGGGAAAAGGAAAGGGTATTTTGACTGAACCAACTGCAGAAGAAAAGAAGCTTGCTTTAGAGCAGGAAATAAAGAAACAAAGAAAAATTCAAAGTATTAATCGACAAAGACAGAGTGATCCTCCTGGTCTTGATAAGGGTGATCTAACAAAACATTACAGCTATGAAACAATTGAAGCCTCTGTTTACAATGGAGTTATGCATGAATTTGCTAAAGTTCCTAAAAAGAGCTTTGATATCGAAAACACTAATTTTAATCAGTTGGACTTTCCTATCAACAAAATGATGTTCATTTTTGCTCAATATAAAATTGTTGATAATTTTGAAGATAAGGAAGAGTATAAGATACAAGTATATAAGTCAAAGATACAAGTATATAAGTCAATGTTTATTCGTTCTTTTTGCCTTAATAGGAAAACATATATCTTTGGGCCCATCGGTGATTTGGTGTTGACATTATAGTGATGGGCCCAACAAAGACTGAATTGATGTGTAAAGTTAGTAGTCTCATGACATCATCACAAATCAGGAAAAAAAGTTTGGACAACAGATTGATTGTAATCCATGTCTCATGTCAATACGATATCTTGAAAAACGTAGGAATATTTGATCACTTATCTTAGGGCCAATGTCTGATTGGGTCATAGTTCGGTAGTTGCTTCGGATTACACACTTTGCTGTTTAATTTAGAAGTTATACTTGCAACTCTAGTTACTGACTTATCCAAGTGGGAGACTGTTAGGTTAAGGTGTCTAAACCAATAACTAAATTGGTATATACTTGAATTAAAAGCAATTTCCTTTTTGGGTTGCCCTTAAAACTAGTAATTGACTAGAATTGTTTTGGAGAGAGAGGTTGATTTATTGATTTATTATATGATTAATAAATAGAAATAATTAATTTGTTAATATATCATGAGATTAATATATAAATTAGGAATTGTATTTTTTAAATTAAGAATTAATTAGAATTAATTTTGGGATTAATTGGTTTAATTAAAAGTGCAAGGACTTAAGCTGTAATTGTTCAATAGTTAAAGGGATAATGACTTAAAAGGGTAATATATTTTTTGATTTGTACACATTTAGTCACTGACTTTTTTTTCGTCCATATTTACCCCCTTCAACTTGTTAAACTGTACACATTCAGTCCTTATGACCGGTTACTCCAGGTTAGCCGGGAAAATGACTTAATAGGGTAATATATTTCTCATTTTGTACACATTTACTCCTTAATATTTTTGTACACATTTAGTCCTTAATATTTTTTTGTTTAAAAATAAGTCATTTTTGTATTTGTACTCATTCAGTACTTATGAATGATTTCTTTAGGTTTTTCTCACGACATCTTACGTGGGACAATCATTGATGAAGTGTGTGCGGCTGCTAATGTTTATATGTAACGTCTCATTTTCACAACCAAAAAATTTTAATTTTTAAATAAGACAAAACTCCCTAATTATAAATCCATTATTAAGAAAAAACGTTTATTCCAAAATTCATCGAAAATCAGAGTAATATAAGAAACGCGGAATCCTCAATACTGTTGATGAGTGTGTACGGTCATGTATTCGCCTTCTCACGATCAACGATAGAACCTGAAAACATAAACAATTGGGTAAGCACAAAGTTTAGTAAGTTTCCCCCAAAATACCTGATACAACAAATGTATTATCATGCATAACGGACCCACACTCATCAGATTGGAATACCTTGGCCCAATCAGTCATCCGACTGGAATGCCAACACACATCAGGGCCAATCAGTCATTGGACTGGAATACCCAGGGTTTGTCGGCATGTCGTCTTAACCTAACCGCTCTTCTCGAGCCTCCGTGCCTACAGCTTACAGCCGATCTGCACCAGGTATCTTGGCCTACAACATATAACAGGACCACCTCAACCTATCTCTCCATATGGCTATCCCACTTAAGATGTGACAAAAACCTAAAGAAATCGTTTATAAGTGTTGAATAAGTACAAAAACAAAAATTACTTATTTTGCAACAAAAAAATTATTAAGGACTAAATGTATACAAAAAAATTATTAAGGACTAAATGTGTACAAAGTGAGAAATATATTACCCTATTAAGTCTTTTTTACCGGCTAACCTGGAGTAGCCGGTCATAAGGACTAAATGTGTACAGTTTAACAAGTTGAAGGGGTAAATGTGGACGAAAAAAAAGTCAGTGACTAAATGTGTACAAATCAGAAAATATATTACCCTTTTAAGTCATTGTCCCATAGTTAAACAAGAAGGTATTCCAGAACCTTCCTAAGCCTTGGACACTTTTAGGAGGCTAATTAGGGTTTCTGAAATATTCCTTAAGGATAATTAGGAATTGGATAATTACCAAATTTGAAATATTAATATTAGATTCAAATTTGGGTTTCTAAGGCTCCTTGTATTAGTTATAAATAGGCCCCCTTGGCTTCTCATTTTTGTACATCACTTCTACCAATGGAATAACCGAAATTCCAACTCCATCTCCTCTCCCCTCAAGTGTTCTAATTGATATGGTTTAGGTACAAACCATTAGAGGCATTGGATTTCTGGTGCCTGTATTCCAAAACACTTGAAGAAATCACTACAAATAATATATATTTATTGGCACAAGTTTTTAGTGGCATATTTCTTTTTGTGCCACTATAAGTGTCTTTAGTGACACATATAATTTTTGTGCCACTATAACCTTGAAAATTCTAAATTTTTATAATGCTGCTTCTAAATCCCGCTAATAATAAAAACTTTCTGCCTAATTTTGGATTTTTGCGAGTTTGAGTTTGACAACCTTATCCAGAATTTAGGGAAGCTGGTCTAGTTTACGTTATTCCCAATATACCATCACCGATCAATTGTACATCCGCTTTTATACTTCCATTCCCAGACTCCTATATAGGGATAGCAAAGGAACCGACCCGGCAACCAGCCCGAACCGGACCCGACTTGGGAACCGAAATCGGCCGAAATTAAGAACCGAAACCGACCGTCGGTTCTACCGGTTCTTGCCGTGTCTTCAATGTTGGAACCGGTCCTCGAGAAATAGCAACATACGGTTCCGGTTTTTGCCGGTTCCTACCGATTCCTAGTTCTAAAAATCCACAAGAATATCATCCCGGTCCTAGCCCCGGCCCGATCGGTTTTATCCGCTTTCGGTTCCGGTACCGGTTCCCCGGTTCAAATGCTCATCCCTACTCCTGTATATCCATCGTTTGCATCTTCTTCTCTCTCAGCGACTCAATCACAACACTATGTATCCCTTATCTACTATAATATGGAGGTAAGAATGTGTTC